GTATATATGTCTGTATGTATATATATACACACACATATATTTATATATATGTGTGTGTGTGTGTGTGTGTGTGTGCGTGCGTGCGTGTGTGTGGGTGGGGGGGGGTGGGGTGTGCACGTATGTGATTGCGTGTGAGTCTGTACATGTGCATGTAGCTACTTGCATATTTTCATATACGCTCCTTTCGTAATTAGGGCGTGTATCCTTTCTCATACTTTGTTATATCCATACTCGCTTCACTGAGACTTACCTATAGCTCTAAACATGACGAACTCGCCATTCTCGATATCAAAGTTCTTGAAGATTGCCTTTGCTGTTATTGTGGTCATCCTTGTTCCCACCTCATCAGGTGATGGTATGCCCATGAGTTGCCACACACAGAGTACGATAAACATGGCTACAACCAGTCTTATCATCTGTGATAAATTGCCTATAGAGGCCGCCCGAACTGAAGGCATATTGGCGTAGGTGTTGGAACAGAGTCTTTATCTGCAGTATAATGTTGAAGTGTGTGCGGGAATCCGACTTCTAGTCGCAGCCCTTATGTGACACTGACGAGTGTACGAGCAATCGAGTTCAACACACCACACGCACCACAACCGCAGTATGTAGTGGCTATATTGGGGCAAGGTCGTTGAAGTGGAAGGTATTTACAATGTGGATGTAAATACGCCCGTAATGAGTTCACGATTGAAAATGAAATACAAGGCCAGTTTATCATCATAATTGAAATGAAAATTAAATACTATTAGGCCCATCGGGTCCGGTCGCAGTGATCGCACTGTCCTCCGTGAGATTGAAAATTTAAGAGGGGGTCTGAATATGTACGTAAACGTCTGTGTTGCATTTATAGGATTGATCGATTGCTTTTTGCCATAGATCCCTAAGATAAAACAAAGTCGGACAGTCGGACAGTCGGACATAGAGCCTGGAGCCTGGACCAGTGATATACACTTTGTACACCCGGCCATTCTTCGGTCAATAGTCCGATCAGGCATATTATTTTATTTCTTCCCTCTAGTAGAGGGTCATGCTTCTATGGCTTATAAGCACTCGTCTCTTAGCGGAAATACTCGGGTTATAACCAATGGGAAGTACAATATAACAATAAGTGACGATATAATTTTTTTATGTCAATGTGAATAATTTGCATTGTAATCCAAGATAGGGTACTTACTTCACATCTTTCTTTGTGCTTTTGCAAAGGAAAGATACAACAATCAGGGGGTGTAAGATATGACTGCCCTCCTTGACTGCCTTTTACTACACTAGGTTAACTGCTATACGTATGTATTACTATATATATATATATATATATATATATATATATATATATATTATTACTATATATATATATATATATGTGTGTGTGTGTGTGTATA